TAGTTGGTAGTTAGCTATATACATGTTTTAGACCTAGTAATACCCCATGTATTAGAAAAAAGATAAGGTATGGTAGAACCCGTGCTTCATTTGTTAAACAACTCCACAAGAAGTAGTCACGTTTTCTTTTAATGATTCAATCGAAGCTTTTTTTTAGAACAGAGTTTTCCATTGCTCATCCCTTCTAATCGATCTGAGAATCCTTTTCAATCGATCTTATCTCCATAGATGATATTGGTGGAAATGGATATTTTCTTTTATCTTTTCAACTTATAAAGAAATAAAAGATCAAAGAAATTTTTTTATAGGTCTTTTCTTCTAATTTCCTCTAAAATTATTATTATATAGGATTTTAATGGGGTTGAGAAAGAAGAGGAGATTTTGATAAAGGAAGAAGAACGGGAGAGTTTTTCTTAGGGGGTGTTTGGCAACAAAGCATAAGTAAAAAAGGAATTTCTTAGAAAGTTAATTTCTAAGAAATGAGAAAGTAGAAAGGAGAAAGCTAAAAAATTAGATTTCTTTAGAAAGACATTTTTCTACTTTTTAGAAATGACTTTCTCAAAAAAAAATTTTAGTTGCCAAACTTACTTACTTTCCTACTTCTAGAAAGTCAAGAAATGCATTACAGAGCCTTTGCCAAACGCCCCTTAGAATAATCTCTTTCTCTTATAAGATCAACAAAATATTCGCAATTAATTCCTTTTATCCGAATCTTATCGAATATTCACGAATATTCCTACGAAATGGGAAGATTTATTAATAATGAATAATTCAGAATTCTTACCGATCCGAATTTTGGAAAAACGGATTATTTCCCAATTTTTCGGCGGATATTCCTGATTTAGCTTCTATGGTTTTCATTCAGCTGAAGAAACGAAAGAAAGAAGAATACAAACCTACGAAGAGATTGTCCTAAAAAATTCAAGTACCCAAATATCTGCGTCCTACAATTGCCGTGTCCATATCTGTGTCCATCACGTGTCCAGATCTGTGTCCATTTCAAACAGCACGTGAGACATAGCATGTGTGTCAGACATGTTTCCTAGCCTTGTCTGTGTCCAAAGTGTGTCCGACTCTGCCACTTCTTCCTAGTTGGGTGTTTGTCAGTCTGTGAATCCTAGTGAAGAAATGAACAATTGAATTAGATTGGTCAAAACATCAAAATATAGTCAGATCTGCTCTGGTCAAACTTTGCCCTTGAGTTAAAATTGGAACATTAGTGCCCTAAAGACTTTTCTCCTAAGTAAAAACAATGAGATCTATCTCCTAAGACTGTTTTCACTTTTAAACCCCATCATCTCTCTCCTGGAAACTTGGCCAAACAAAACCGAGCCTTTTGCATGAGCATTTGCACCTGCCTCATCTGAAAGAGCTCTGTATTCTGTGGTAAACTCCATGTGAGAACTAAGAAGTAGAAAAGAAAAGAATGTTAAACTGATGAAAAGCGGAGTATGTATTAGCAATTATTGATGACAATAGTTTCTTTAAAGGGGTGTAGATATCATTTTAATACCCTAAATTTGTGTATAACCTATCGATTATGAATAGATATTGTGTCTTGTCTAATAACAAGAGTGCCTACATGTAAACATCTTTTACATATGAATGTCCTTGTTTATTTGGAGTAGATAAAGAAGATTTAGCAATTATGTGCTATTTTTTCAACTTTAAACCTGAAAATAGCCACACCATTAATAAAATGAATATGCTTAATCAATTTGATAGAAATTAATTAAATTAATCTAGGTTCTGGTCTTCCTGTTTTCTTTGTATTGCTCAAGGCTGGTGAAGATGCTGACTTTTCAAGGATGGCCAAAGTCGAACTGAAGAAGTTGTTTGCCAAAACCAAGGTATGTATGGCCTACATTTATGGTAGGGAGAAAGTTCCAAGCTTGCAATTTTCTTTCGCCAGTATCGATCAGGAAGCATTCTGAATGACCTTATAGTTATACTGGAAACTTAAACCTGTCTGCAATACAAGTTCAAAATATAGTAAGCATTACTTCTCTTTATTTTGGTATCAGATTCACTATATAAGAGAGACAAGTTTGTCATCAAATCAAGATAAGTCGAAGATGAGGAAAATGAGTTGGAAGGTTGAAGGTGATAATGAAGGGTACAGTGCTCCCCTAAGAGGTGGTTCAGTCGATAAGTATGATCTTATTGTCGAGTTGGGGCCCATGGAGATACGTACATTCCTGTTGAAGTTTTAAAAATCCAGTTGATATAGCACTCCTGCCAAATGATTTGCAGTTTAATGCTCTTCTTGAGTTTGCCAATGCAATACTTGGACCAGTCTCTTTCACTCAGTCTTTCCGTCTGTGTCTGAGGTTGCTTAAAGGCATATTATTATGTATATACATCAAATGTATCTACTTATAAGAAGCAATCTATAACAATCTTCTGGGTGGAACTGGATGATGACTCGGGGCCTTCAACTATGCTTAAATTATTGAACGGGTGGGGTTCTTTAGATTCATTGAAATTTATTTAAGGATTGCTTTGGTATTGGACAAAAAATATATTTAAAAAATGAAAAAATTCCTAACTGTGTTAGTGTTTTTCCATCCAATTACGGGGTAAATGCTATTATTTTTTAAATGGGGGGTTACACAAATTTGCACTTTCATTTGGGGGTGTAAGTGCCAAAATCTCTAATAAATTATATTGTCTTTCACAAAAAAAAAATTTATTGTTCAAAGTATAAGACTCAAAAAAATCTTATTATTCAAAGTATATGTAAACAAGAAACTAGAAAGAAAACTGGTAAATAAATCTTATTATTCCCAAAATGGGTAAATAAATCTTATTATTCACATGCAGGTGAGTTAGGTGATACACAGTGAATGGGAGTAGATGAATCTCTGAAAGGAATTTGTACTGTTAAAGTTTTCATGATCATAGTCATGACCACAATTGTAATAGTCTATCATCCTTCCATCAGATAGTGTTGATACTACTCTAAACATTGTGTACCCTGAACTTTTACTATAGTATGTTCTTTTTGAAGGTAAACTATTTCTGTTTATATTTCTCTTTAATAGTTTGTTCAGAACGTATGGATATTTTTTTTAAAAATCTACTTAACTGATATATTTTTATACTGATCAGGGTACATACCAAAATATCATTTGACTCTGATATCACAAAATGAACCGCACCATGTGTTGAAAAGGTTTGCAGTCGGATCGGATCAGGTTACAAATGTGAATATTTTTGTTGGAGTTTGCGAGTTCACCTCAATCAGTTGAAAGTTTGTAAAGACCAAGATTGCATAAAAAGAGCTACTTACGTCTCTGTTATCAACCTCATGACCCCTTACTAAATATTTTTGTCTAGTGTCTTCACGTTTGTAAGTTGGATAACCATCTGTGTCCATTGATGTCGCTTTTATAAAAGCTTTTGGAAATTTTGATTTACAACGAATACGAACATGATCATCTACCATACACAACGCCTTTGGATTTTGTGTACCACATGGACCATGTATCATACAACTAATAATAGTTGAAAACAAAACATTATTGATATTAGGATTAGGAATTTCTGCACAAACAATTATATCCACTTGCGCATGTGTGAGGATTTCATCTTCGTGATGAAAGAATATGAGCGCGTGCATATGAGGAAGACCACGTTTTTGAAACTCGATTGTGAAAACATAGGCCGCCACTCATCCAAGTACTCCTTTCTCAACAATTTCCTTCATGATAGTTCTTCGTTTAAGTTCAAACACACGGACAACTAAATTATGCCTATTAAACGCAGTTTGGTGAAGTTTAAGCTCATTTTTTATTAGCAGTAGCTGTTAGAAAGATGTCTGGATGATGATGGTATCTTGTAATTGCCATCGAATCCTAGTGAATCTCTTACATATTCCTTGGGATTCCAGGATGCGAAGATGGCAAAATGAATCGCCTCCCAATTTGGCTTGCACTTAAACCCTCACCCATACTATCAATCAACCCTTTGTAACAATCTGATCGAATTTTGTCCTGATTATCCCGTACATATTGAAAACACATATGTTCATACGACGTCCATGCATCAACTAAAAATTCATGAAAAAGAAGACCACCCAACAAGAAGGGCGAATACTCAGTAGTTTTTTTTGAAAAGGCGATAAGTTGAGTATTGCAGCTAAGTCAACCGCCTTCAAGTATGACAATTGTTCTTGACATCCCAAAGCTTCATCTCAAGATGCCAGCCTATATCACCATTACGGAAAAAATTACATAGTGCGACGGCGAATACGTAGGATGACATTTGCTGATACGTTGTAACAGCCCAGGTCTCAAACGAAGAATAATATCCTGAGTACTATGGAAATTTTCTCCCTCTCTTGGCAAAATAACACCTTTGGATCACTACCAGGAGTGTAATGCAATGAAATAAAAACCTCATTGTCAAGCAACATCATTTAAAGCTAAGACCTCGTATGCCTGCATATACATTCTAGTTGTGTTTATAACGCTCAGAACATCAGGACGAAGATGTGGATTGTGATGTGAACGACGCTGCAATATTAGCATCATAAATATACAATTGAGCATAACTAGGTACCATTTCAGGTTTCGGTAACAATGATTCAATTCTAAAAAAGAAAAAAACGAATAGTCATGCTATCAAAAGATTTGCAGATACTACACCCAAAAAAATGACCTAAAAACATTAGAAACCACAGTAAGTAACATTTTTGAAAGCAAATAATCTGTAGAAGCCAAAACACAAAAACAGTAATTAAATTGCAGAAGCTTTAAGTCATTCCCAATATGGTCATACCTTAAATTCTCCAAA